CAAGAAACACCACCGGAGTCAGATCAACGAACACAAGCGTGATCCATTTTAGTGTCAAATTTCAGAGCATCTTCTACCACCAACCCCACCAAAGAAGCACCGATTCCAGAGCAGAACCAAGAGTTTATTTCTATCCATCCACACAGAACAAAACACTTATTAAAAAGAAAGTCAGTCAAGGAGCACAAATCCCTTTCCACAGAAAAGACCAGCAAAGGCGTCAAAGTAGAACATTAGCATTACACTGGGCTCGCTCAATCATCGCCCCGGTCTCACTGCTACCCGGTGGACGGTGAATCAGAATCCACGACGCAGCATTATTCTTATCATGGATGAAGCAAAGCTAGGGATGCAGCTAGGATCGACGAAAATTACAGTATACGTAGTATGTTCCAACGAGCTGAATTTTCCTCTCAAGAAACGATCTCTATCTCCGTCTCCGATGATATATCTATCTGGCTGGCGTTGATCAACTTCACGCCATCCCCCGTCCCATCCCGCCCGTCGCCGTCTTTAACTTTTCGCGGTGCCGTCGCCGGGGCCTGCACGGCACCACCACCACCGGAAATCCCCGTCGGCGGCGGCTGCGTAGGCGCTACGTAGTGCGGGCGGATCGCGCGCCCACCGCATATACCCTGTGTTGCGCCCTGACAAAAGAGAAGAGGACAAGAAAATATCAGCCCGATTTTTCTCGGTCGTTCCAGCCATGAAATGAGCCGAGAGAACGTATCAGGACGGCTGGGGTTTCTGTGGTGATCGCGGGTGCCAGGGTGAGGCGTGAAGTGTGAACCGGCGGTAACCTGGGAATCTGCTCATGATACGCTACGATTATACTAAAACCCAAACGTACGTGCGGCTGCTGCTTCAAGGAAGTTGCTTTTGGTTTGAAGCTTTACTCCTCTGGAGTTGGATGGTGGCCGTCCTCTTTGTCTCACGAGCCATCATCACCATGCATGATCGCGATGCGTGTGATGTGACGCGGACCGACCAACGGTTCTACTCTTGACAGTATTTATTTATACTACTGATCGATATGCTAAAATTCTGAACTCATCTCCGGAAGAACATCCTTGCGAACTCGAGAAAACGAGTAAGCACGCACGCGGGGGGATGGATGCTTTCGCTGCAAAGAATGGCCAGGTGATGGGCGAATAAAAAAATGTTTGGACTGGAGATAGATATGGATTGGATTGGATGGAGACGACCTAATGTACGTACCAATTGCTGGGTGCAGTGGAACGCCCATGACCAAAAGGCCCGCCAAAAGCATCATTGACTTGAAAACTTCTTGCTAGAACCAAGTACAGGGAGATTTGGTGGCAGGTGCTTCAGATCTATGTAAGGGTTCAATGACGACAACTACAGCTTCATGGCGCTAGTCCTTAGGGGCACGTGCATGAGGGCCGAGTGACCATAATAGTACATTGACGGCTCGTTTTGACGCCAGTACTGGTTGTTCATTGGCCTTGGAATCAAGACGTAATTTTTATTATGTTTGAGATGCTTTATACTTTCGCTGGATTTTATAATAGATCTGATCATTTCCCCACACACACAAAACAAGAATGAGGATTTAGTAAGAAAAATTGTTTACAAAATAAAAACACAAAATATATAGAATAACTGAAAAATAATATGAATACCAATAATAAACCAATACAAAACTTTAGCTATAAATGGAAATAAAATAGGCACAAATGATAACGGGTGAACACAACAGTTAACATCTCACAACTCCAGCTGATATAGTAGCGAGAGCATCTCTAAGAAAAGATAACGCACACTATTCTTGAAAAAAAAAGCCCCACCTTGTATATATTACCATACGGGGCTAGAAGCCGCTCCATATTTTGAGGATATTTTGAGATGGGCTTTGATAGAATTATTATCGATTCTGATTGCCTTGAGGCCATTGAGATTATGAATGAAGGAGGTTTCTCATCAACAGTAGCTGCTCCATATTTTGAGGGTGTTTGTATTCAGACTACAACTAGCTAGTTCCAGCTTCAACTTCAAGAATGAGAAATTTGATGGAAAGGATATATTTTCGATGACGTGGGGAAAAACAAAAGGGTGTCGACTTACTAGTGGCAGTGTTCTAGAGATTTTGAAGCATCCCCTGAAGAGCTTTCACCAAAAAAAAGAGGGAGTTGTGCCTAGATTTTATTTTGTTTTTGCAGAGCGGCATATCGTAGAGCTACCCTCTTTGGCTTGTGTTTTCCAGAGCAGAATTAAATTTTAAGGAGCGAACTAGTCACAAACGGGCATTCGTTAAGTCGAATTCTAGTTTTGTAATAGATATGCCAATTCTGTTGGTCATGGCTTAGCTAGGGACGCTGATCACAATGACAATGCTCGGGTCGATAAACCTTCTAGTTTTATTATTTCCTTGCTTGTGAATAATGTAACAACTATTTTGATAGCCATAAAGTGAGCCATGATGGCATTCCAAAAAAGAAAAAGACAGGCCTAGAAGCCACCTCACATCTTACTGCCCGAATTACATTGAGGGTCTAGTAAATGAAGTTTAACGTCCTTCGTTTTTCTCCGGCGTTTTTTAAGAATCTCTATGTTTCTATTCGTTTGCTTATGTTATTTCCAGGACAAGGCGAGGTTCTGCCACGTGTCTTGCGAATGAACTTAAGACTGCTCGGGATAAGATCAATCGTCAAAACGGTAAAGCAAAGTAAGATTTGTAGTAGTTGGACGAGGGATCCTCCGAGGTGCCTAGTTCATAACCTTATGAACGAATCACAAGCAGATAAACACAAGCGGACGTGTCGCCGCCAGAAAGAATTATGACAGGCAGCTAAAACAAGCAAGCGTGTCCTCGCAGACGCGACGGCAAATGGATTACACTTGCTGGCGGCTTAATGAACATGAATGAACAAGCAAACGTGTCGCACGCATAAACCCGCTGGCTTCGCCGGTGTCGTCGTGTCGAGCCGGGCCGACCGACTCTGCCCGCCACGTGTCCCTCCCCCTCCTTGGCTCGCACGCGCGCGTGTCCGTCACCCGCGACACGCGCTGCGTCCGCCAGGCGACGATGCCTGGACGACGGGGACGGCTGTCAACCTTGGCCGGAATAGTCAAATGCCAGTGTTATGTTTAATCGCGTCTGCCTTTGCCTTGGGTGCGTGCGCGCGCCGCTCCCGCTGACGCCGATGCTGCCGAGCGATAGATATGCTTTCCTTCCTTGCGTCCATCTTCGTTGTTGGGGTTGAGCAGGTCCGGTGGTGGTGGGGTGGGGTGGAGTGGCGCACCGCCTTTCCTTTCCTTTTCTTCCCGTCGACCGGCGGTGGTTCGGTCTCGGTGGTTGCGTCGTCGCCAACATCCGACCCGACACTTTTACCTCGTGCTCTTCTTATAAAGTTAGTCCAGATTATGAAACTTTGACTTAAGATAAATGGTAAAAATACACTTACTCGCGGACGGAAGGAATATGTTTAAGTAACTTCTGATTCCTTGGTATATGTTTGAGTTGCCACTTCATATGCACACAAGTAAACGAAAATGCTATCCGAGGAATATTTTCTGAGGATGAAATTCCAACGAACCACGTAATGAAAACTGCCACGCCTGCCTTGAAATTCCCCCCTAAACACAGTAAAAACTGCCATGTTGCGAACCAACCTGTGGTTGGATGGTTAGATGAACAGCGGTATCCTCAGTTCATCAGGATTTAAATTCCGGTGGGCTCTGTCTCTTGGAGGTGCTCATACAGATAGGGTGTGCATGTGTGTACTCATAGGGATGAGTGTATACGTGTGCATATAAGCGCTTGCGTTTATACTATATTGAAAAAAAAACTGCCATGTCCACCCAGCATGCACGTCCTAAATTAAACCCTTGCATTCATTTGAAAAGCAAATCTCACAATTGTCGCATGACTGTTCTTTTTTTCAAGTCCGGTCGACCACGTACCGCTGTCTTCTTCCCTTTGCCGTCATTTTCGACGTCGATCTTCAAGTTATCCTGAAGATTCTTTTCCTTCCGAGTTGGATGATGATCTACGTCCTTTTTGTCTGGGCTAGTCTCAACCTTTTCGTCCAGGCTAGTTTTCGAAACTATGCAAGAAAACTGTTGGCAAATGTGCAATGCTTGTGATTGAACAAATTTGTTTAACACTCATGTCAAATCATGGCCACGTCCATCACTCTGATCTTTGTTCAATTTACTTGATCTTTTTTATACTGCATTATAGTTTCTGTTATTTTACGGGCTCGTTTTTTGTTTGATACTGCATTATAGATTCCTTTAATTTGACTTGCTTATTTTTTGATACTGCATTATAGATTCCTTTAATTTGACTTGCTTTTTTATACTGTATTATAGTTTCCGTTAATTTTACTTGCTTGTTTTTCTATAGTATACTGCATTATAGTTTCCGTTAATTTTACTTGCTTGTGTCTTTTTATATTGCATTACAGTTTCTGTTAATTTTACTTGCTTGTTTTTTTATACAACATTATTATTGTACTAAAACCATAACACTTACTTTCAAGTGGAGGGAGTAGTTTCTTGTTGTATTCCAAATAGAGGATGGTAGATAACAACATAGCAATTAAACAAATGATCAAATATAACAAGACTTAAACAGGGGGGAAGAACAGATCTCATCTTATCAGTGATCAACACATGAGACAACTCAAGTTACACTGATACAATAGCAATAACCAGAGAATGGTTTCTTTGACAGACAAAACCTAAACAGGGGGAACAACACATCTCATCATCTCATAATGAGCCTCAAAGCCCCCTGGATGCACGCTACTGACTCCCTTTTATACCACCCTAATTAAGCTCCCAACTTATATTTACAGGTGCCTCACAAACAATTCACAATGGCGGGTGAGATCTTCTTCAGGTTCGTTGGTTTTATTCCCAGGTAACAATGGAGCCACAACTGGCATGTCGACGACGGCGGATCGGTACTTACAGTTGACACTCAACAATGCAGAGGAAGAAGGCGGCGACAATGGCGCGCCGTCGGAGATCGATCACTGGCCTTCCAGGAGCACCCTGAGGCTATGGAGCCCCTCGGCCGAGATGCTCCGCTCGACCCTGCCCGCCCTGTTCACCCTGATCTGGGGAGGGGCCTCCTGGTGGAAGGAGACCATGACCGCCGTCAGGTTGTCAGTGGCGCCCCGCCGGATCGCCTCCTCCACGATCTCCTTGCAGCACCGCCGGAGGTCGTTGTGCTCCTGGAGCCTCCGCCGCGCAAAGTCCACCGAGTTCTGGTTGGAGAAGTAGTCCCAGATGCCGTCGCTGCCGATGATGAGGAACTCATCGTCCTTGGTCAGCGTGATCATCTTGAGCTCCGGTTCTGCGCTCAGCGGGCCTCCCGGCTCGCCTATCTCCTTCAGGCCGTCGAGGTGCCAGTCACCCAGCGCTCTGGTGACCGCTAGCTGGCCGTTCAGATAGCCGTCGTCAACGTAGCCGCCTAGGGATTCGACCCGCTTTCTTTCATTCAGGCAGCAGGTCCTGTGGTCCTTGGACATTTCGATTGCGGCGCCGCGCCGGGAGAGGACCGCTCGGCAATCACCAGCATTTGCGACCAGAAGAGACCTGCACAAGACATGCAAACAATCAGCATTGCTGGTCACTCAATAACAGAGCAACCTGCAGCTAGGGAGTACTGATGCTAACTCTGATGAGCCATACTGGCATTGGCATACAACACAATGTGCATGGTAGCAGTATCACAAGAGGTCCTAGTGCAAGTGCAGCAGTTTAGAGAAATTTAACCTTAGTCTAAAGCATGTTGAGATTTTTTGAATTATGATGCATTAGTTTGAAAGCAGCTTCAGGAACAAGTTAACCTAGAGTCAACTCCAGTACTCTATTGCATTATGATTTTCTGGTCACCAATAAAATGAAAATACTAAAGTAAGAGCCAGGATTGCAGGTCACAGGAACAGTACCTCCCAAAAATCATTGCTGTAAGTGCAGTTGTTCCAGAAGAAAGCCCATCCTGTAGAGAGCACTTCTCTGCAAACTGACTGTCAGTTTGCACAAACGACCTCCTGACTGCCTTCTCGAGCTCAAGAGGAAAAGCAGCATCTTCCACGATGACCCGTGGCAAGTTGTCGCGAACATACTGTGCGGCATCTTTTCCACCATGTCCATCAAACACCTGAGAATCGTAAGGACATGATTATGTCAGAAAAAGGAACATTTACTGTGAAACTGAACAACCAGATTTGAGAAGTGAATAAGCAATTACCCCATAGAAGGAAATAACTTCATCATCCACCATGTTGTACCCAAAGTTCTTGGCTAGGTTGGGGATGCAGACATGCGCATCTTCCATGTAATCACGGCCACCAATGTCAGACCAATCCCCTGATCGGATAGCTGGGATAAAATTGTGCCAGCTCTCTCCAATCCCAGCCACCATCTTGGCTTGCTTGAAATCAATGGACACTGTGTTTTCACAGACTCTCTCCATCTGCACATTAGCAAATTAACAGAAGATTAGATCACGGCAGTCTTCTGATGAAGAAACAAGGTACTGCATCAGCTTTGAAAAAAAGATAGCAGTAAGGGATAGCAGAGTACATTTAGGACAATGATACAAAGGGTGTACTCAGGTTAAAAGAATCTATCTTCCCAAGTTTTCAACCCTATCAACAACTATGCAACAGCTTAAGTAACGTCGCCACCATCCATCACATAGAAAGTGGATGACTTGCAAGCTTGCAGCAACACTAATCCACCTAGCTGAAAGGGACGTACAAACAGAAGCCCAACTCGGTCAAGTCGGCGACAGACGGCAATCCCTTATTCGACAAAGAATGCCACGAGTAGCCATTTCGAGTGTGGGCAATCATAAACAAAACCCCCCAAAATGCACAGGAACGCACTGACAAAACCGCAAACCACAAGCCCCAGAAGGTGCTACTGAGTACTGACTAGCCGAGGAATGTCAAGCTTCCAGGTGTACATTCTTGAGCACCACCCCACAGCCCACTACCTGCCTGCCGGCATTGCAACCCATAATTGCAAGCTAAAGGGACAAAGCGGCCCCATGATTATGTAATTCAGACCTAGAAAGGCACGTACATCACCAGGAAATTGCCAAGGACGTGTCGTCCTAGGAGGCTTCACAGCACGGGAAAGGCCAGCTTTTCCTTAGCCTCAATGCAGAAAGGGGCACAGCACTATCTAAACTTTACCAGCGCTGACTGTTCTACATGTAAAGACTAAAGAACACAGATGATGATGATGGATGATTACCATTTGTTGAACCATAAATCTTTCCCCAACACTTGTTAAAAACATGTAAATGACACCCTCTTTGGTGTTAGTAGTATTTAACCTCAATTAGTGGGAGAGGAAGAAAGGAACCAAGCACTACTACCAAGTGTGAACTTTGCAGACGTTGATTTTTGTGAACAGTTCAGTTTGTCCTAACTTTCAGATGCAAATATCTTTCTCTGTCACAGGAGATGAGGTGCAAATATCCTGTGACGGCGGACGAATGGATGGCAGAGCAACCACGTCAACTGGAAATCCCACACGAGGATTTTGATCACAGGATCAGAAGCACCGCATAAGAACAAGTGAACAACAATGCACATGCAGAAGCAGACATGGGGCATGACATCCGCCGAGCCAGGACAACAAAAAAGATTTCGCTTTTGCGGCACGCCGCCCCGGCTGGCTTAATCCCAGCTAGAAACTGCTGGGCCGCCGAACAAACAATTCAAGGCATATCCCTCTGTTCACACCTTACGCACAAGGGAGATATAATAATAATAATAATAATAATAATAATAATAATAATAATAATAATAATAATGGGAAAATATTGCTTACTAGTAATTCTTGCTAATAAAAATTAAGAATAATAACAGGATAATATTACTACTAGTAGTATATTCTTGTAAAAGATGAGATAATGGGAGTAGTTCATTAATTCCAGCTGCAATAAGTAAACTAGTGCTAAATAGTCTCTGCTACTCCTACTTGGCTCTGGATTTTTCAGGGAAAGGGAAGGGGAGAAACGGAAGCATTCGCGCAGCACGCAAAGTGTGTGCACGAAGCAACCAACTCACTGGTGGGTTTTTTCTTCTTCTTCTTCTCCTCCTCCTCGACTAATCGACCGTCCAGACCGGAGCAACAACTAACACGCACGAATCATGGACGAAAGGAGAAAGAAAGACATCTATTTTGGCCTCATGTTCTCGCGGCGGACAGAGAAACCACCGAATTCAGCGAGCGGAATCCACACAGGGGCAAGAACATCGCAAGAAAAGGAAAGAAAACAGAGTCAAATCGAATGGGCGTAGAACAGGGGAGGGGAGGGGAGGGGAGGGGGGTTGCCCACCGCGAAATCCGCCGGCCTCTCGATCTGCGCGTCCTCGAATCCCTCCACGCACATGTCCGGTTCGCCGCCGCCGACGACTTCTTCTTCCTCCCGGCCTCTGTTGCTCTGCCTCGCCAAGACGACGACGAAGGAGGAGGAGCGATTCGACTCGAACTGCCGCCGCAGGTTCCGGTGAAGGATTGAAGGAGGAGTGGGGCGCGACCGAGACCGGGACGGGCTTGGAATCGGAGCAGAAGATTCGCGGGAATATCTCTAGCTAGCTCTCTGTTTCGATCGGGGGCAGGAAAAGGAAGGGAAGGCGGAGGCGGA